AACATACATACAATTTAGACATCTTTTTAGAAGTGAGTTAGTTTAATATGAAATATTATACTGAAAATTCAATTTCTGAATTTTTTTACCCACTACACGCTACCTCAAATTAATGAGGGAAAAATTGTTGCTGTTGTCACACCCTCGCCGGGAATCGAACCCGGGACCTTTGGCTTTACGCACCAATGTTCTGACCACTAAACTACGAGAGGTGACAACAGCAACCACGACCAACCGACCTGCAACAACGGTGTGACAACACCAACAATCTTTCCCTCATTAATTTGAGGTAGTGTGTAGTGGGTAAAAAATTCAGAATTGAATTTTCAGAATAATATTTCATATTAAACTAACTCACTTCTAAAAAGATGTCTAAATTGTATGTATGTTTAATCATAGTATATTCAGTATAAAGTTACATCAGTTTGACGTATCGTTAACCTTGTAGGTCGGTTGGTAGTGGTTGCTGTTGTCACCTCTCGTAGTTTAGTGGTCAGAACATTGGTGCGTAAAGCCAAAGGTCCCGGGTTCGATTCCCGGCGGGGGTGTCACAGCAGCAACAATTTTTCCCTCATTAATTTGAGGTAGCGTGTAGTGGGTAAAAAATTCAGAAATGAATTTTCAGAATAATATTTCATACGTTGCTGTTGATATTATCATTTTTAATACGAGACAAGACGAAATCAATGTAATCTTGACTCTTACGGCAATTATGTAACGACGGTGACTTATTTGGATCTAACTGGTAATTTAATAGTACACTGTTCTTCTTGTATTTATTGATATTCGTAGTTTACTAGTTTTATTAGCTAGTGCGAATACGACACAATTGTACCTACGTCTGATTTACATATACTGACGTATGTACCGGCATGTACGAAATTTTCAGTCTGCAAGTCTATTGTGTCACGTAAAGTGAAAATTTGCATCAGATATCTACAAAAAACTTTACTATGGTAATACTATACATAAGTGTAATACTTATAATACGTCGCACGTTTCTTTTGAAATAATTTCCTAATTTGTTTTGCGTATTTAATGATGCAATATCATGTTATTCCTTTTTTTTTATAAAAAAATCGTGTTTATATAACATTGTTGGACTAAACACAGACAAACACTTTCGTGCAGTGCCCTGAAATAATCGCCTACTCTATATATCGATAACGATCAAACAATAATGCACCAAATTTTGATATTTATTCGAGTTATATAATTACTTGTTTTGCAAAAGCAGTTTTTCCTTCGTTTTGTCAGTTTTTATTCGTTATTATCACTACTTAACGTGAATCATATGTTCCGGCAATTTATTGTAAAAATGGTGAACGTCAGAGCATGCCAAACATGTTAAAATGCATGTCTTTCTTATCAGAAGCATGAAAAGTGGTAAATGCTAGTTAGTACACTGTGTAGTTAGACATCAGCTATGATTACTGTTTTTATTCTGTTTTGCAGTGGTAAGTTTCTGTTTTATTTTTTTATATTAATTTTTTAAAATTTAAGCATATCCGTAGAATTAATAGACGTGAATATTTGTTAGTGAAGTTGTCACATCGATGTATAAGTTTTGATTCATTACAAATTATATATAATCGCAAGAATTTAGTGATATATTAAAAAAGTAACATTTGTTTTTCTTTTCTGAAATTACGATATTTTTATTAACCTTAAACATAATGAAAATATAAAATTAACAAGGCAATTATAGTAAAAGAAACTCACACTACAACACAATATTTTATTTTCATCAACCGTCTATACTTAATGACTGATATAGGTAAACTTTAGAGATAGAAGAATGAAATAATCAAACAACGATGGTATCAAAAAGCCATATTATATCATCATCACAAAGTCATCAGTCCAAAGACTGATACGACACACACTTTCTTATCCTGAGCCAAAGTTCCCATTTCCCAAAAACTGCAACATTCCACATTATTAGCTACTTCAGTGACACCACATCTTTCTCCGATAGTAGTTGTAACAATCCATCAGTTTACAGCTGAGCGATATTTTAAGCACATTCGTTAACTAAAGATCATGGACTATTTTTTGACTCCATACGCGATTTTAATCCACACGTTGTTCTATGCGGCAGAGCCATACCCAAGGGAGCAAAGAATCACTTGGAGCCTTTTTAAGACCATTGTTCTATAACGTCAGATCTCAAATGCGAACTTGAGCCAGTCTTCGCATTTCTCGAGCACGAAAAAAAACTTTTGGGTGTTTCATTCCCACCAGCCAGTAATGCTGGTGGGCGGGCAGTCCCTCCGAACTACGCCGGAAGGTAGGGCGGAAGGCCCTTCTTAGCCTTCTTTCAGGAATCGTGGGAATGGGTGGGTGGTGATTCGGGTGAGAAAGATGAGACGGATGAAATGAAGACAGAAGAGAATGAAAGATTATCTGTGGAATATTACTGCCCTAGCATTTACTTAGGTGATCCAAGGAAACCACAGAAAAACTTGGACCAAGGCAGACGGACCCGGAATCGAACCGGCGTCCTTCCGAATGCTGAACAATGACCTAAACCTCTGGGCCATACCGCTTAGTCCCAAGCACTAGAACATTGTTGCATATTTATAGATATTTGGGTCTTCCCTCCTACCCTCTTTGCTATAAATTGATCTCTAACTAACCCTTCATGTCTCAGAAAGTGTGCCATTCGTCTCATAATAACCATTTTTGAGACTCATTGAAATTTTCTAATATTTTATGGTAAAAAAGTACCCGATTGTTTTTGCAAAAATGACCATTCGATGATGGTCAGTCTCCCTATCAGCTCAGCTATAGAACTGTAATCATAAAAGAATTATTAGTAATGTTACTTAGTTTTAAAAATTTTAATTTTTGCCTGTTATTTTCGAAAAACTAGCAGAGACATACCTTCCATAATTTAGAAATCACCCAAATTAAAAACGCTTACTTCGTATACTATTAAATTGTAAACGAATTCAAAACCTTACCTACTAATAATTATAAATAATTATGTATCAAAAAAATACTGAAATTTACTCTGTAACTTCCGAAATAAACAACTTCAGTAGTAACCATGACACCGGCCTTTTTCACCTGTTTCAATTACTTTGATTAATTTTATGACATATGACGAAAATCCTAAATTGTTTGTTACGATTTCACGCCTTAGCTAGTCAACCGATTATCATTAAATTTAGTACACACATTATAAAGAATACAGAAAAGGACATACGGTACCCTTTATCCAGAAAAAGGTACTATTCCCGAGGGATAGAAAACAATTAGTTGTATGTGATCGTCGATGATCTTTGACATGTATTTACGACATCAACGCGAGCGAAGCCTCGAGTAGAATCTAGTAAAAACATAAATTACTTGAATACCTAATTATAACACGGATAGGTGGTGCAGTGTACTTTTTATAATAATTTTGCTTTGTTTTTTCAAAGATTTTCTAAATTAGATCAGGAACTCCAATTTCAAAATAAAATTCTTTAATACTTTACTAGGAACCAAACTTAGGTAATTTCATAGACATTGAAGACAGCATTTTAATAATTTATATTTAATAGGTCATTTATTTCTCTTGTTTTCGAACATGTTAGAAGTACTAAAAGACATGTATATTTTGCATCAGTATATTTTAATAAATCAATAGTATTTATTATGTAAAAATTAATTATATAATCGAGGATGAAGGTACAATAACTAAAATTCAACCATTTTCATCATTCTCGGCAAGTTGATGAATATGTAATAATTATACACGTTATTTATAGTTGAGAGAAGGGAGGACGAGGTAGTTTTGCAGAATACCATGCAAATGTCTTTAGTTGGGGATGGTGGTGCTGAAAATTGAAGATCGGTTTAATAGTAACTGTGTGTATGACTAACTGTCGTTAGGAGTGGAGAAGGGAGGGGGGATAGTTACGACCTTGCAGGAGGGAACTTTTGGTCTCCACATCCTAACCTTGCATATAAAGGCAAAAAATTGAGTTATAATGGGTGAAAGTTCACTCCCCTCCACATAAAAAAATGGGGGAAAATGTTAGGTTAGGTTAATTTAAATGGGGGAAAAGGTTAAATTATGATAGACTAAAATCAACCCCCCCCCCAATAAAGAGAGAAAAAGATGTTTATACCTATGTAGCCACACTCTGTCGTATGAGATGAGAGATGTGACTAGCAAAGTTGTGGTTCTGAGAAGAACCGATTTACAAAAGCGTTGGACACATTGCTGTGCCTATGATGAGATGTAACACTGGTACAGCATCCGATGGTTGATACCTTGCGGTATTTAGGAGTTGATACTGTTGCAGTATCTAATAATGGCGAGCCTGGGGTTAGACTGATTTATTCAATTCTTTACAAGCTATTTATACAAAAATTATTTACATTAGTTTAATGGCAATAGTTAGTTCAGCAGTTTACATATGTGTGTGTAAATGTCTATGACCTAGTTAGCCGCACTGTACCGCGATTTTACTAAGTCGGCAGAAATGATGAACTTTAATTATTACACATTTGAATTGTTTACTGCTATACCGAGTGTTCCCACAGGACCCCCCTTCCAGTGAGGAACGATGTGGTTTAAACTGTTCAGATGTATCTTGGGAAATGTACTCGACGACCGGACCGGGTTGTTGTATGTGCTGGTCGATCGTCCATGTTCTTCTTTGTAGGTATAGGTTGAGGATGTTGTTCATCTGTCACAATATATGCTGGTTTGAGTCTCTGGATAGATACTGATTTGCTTGTGTTGGGAAGTTGAATTACGAAAGAGTGTTCGCCTCGTTTGATTACTTTATATGGCCCATCGTAGGAGAATTGTAGTGGTTTCTTTGGACCATCCCGTCGAATTAGAACATATTCGGCCGTTCGTAGATCTCCATGAATGAAAGTTTTGTGTCCACCATGCCTGCTTCCAGCTGCAGGTCGTAGAAGTCGGAAGTAATCTCGAAGCTGCTGAACATATGTCTGGGTGGTGGTGTGCGATTGACGGGTGTCTGGGGCCAGAAATTCGCCTGGTAGACGAAGGGGTTTTCCATATAATATCTCGGCTGCTGTAGTCTTAAGGTCTTCCTTCCAGGCTGCACGAATTCCTAGAAGAACGGTGGGGAGAATCCTGGTCCAGCTGCTGTTTTGATGGCAGGTTATGGCGGCTTTTAATTGGCGGTGTAATCTCTCAACCATGCCATTAGCTGGGGTGGTATGCCGTTGTGTGGATTTGCTTCGCGTTTGTTAGCTGCGAAAGCTCCTTGAAAAGCTGGGACTCAAACTGTCTACCTTGGTCTGTGGTGATTCTCAGGGGTGTGCCATAGCGACAGATCCAGCCTTCATAAAATGTTCGTGCTACCGTTGTGGCTTCTTGGTCCGTCATTGGAAAAGCTTCGGGCCAACGTGTGAATCTGTCTACACACGTGAGGCAGTAACGGTATCCTTCGGAGTGCGGCATCACAACTATGTCCATGTGGACGTGGTCGAACTTCTCTGATGGTAGTCCGAATTCGCCCAAGGGTGGAGAAACGTGACGGGTAACTTTGGCTTTTTGACAAGAGAGACATTCGCGTGCCCATTTGGCGCAATCTTTATTAGCAGATGGCCAAATAAATCGCTGGGTCACAAGTTTAATGGAAGCACGGATTCCAGGATGCGTTAGGGAATGTAACTGCTTGAATGCTGCGAAACGAAATGTTGAAGTTAAAAAGGGTCTTGCCGTGCCAGTCGAGATGTCGCAGAAAATGGCTTTATTTGAGCCGGGAATGAGAATGCGTTTGAGATGAAGGGAATGGTTAGCGTTGAGATACTGTTGTAGTTCCCTGTCGGATTCCTGAGCAGTAGCAAGAGCTTCGTAGTCAATATGCGTTGATAACTCAGAAATCCGTGAGAGTGCGTCTGCGATAATGTTGTCTTTCCCAGAAATATGCTGGATGTTCGTTGAGAACTGGCTAATGAAATTGAGGTGCCGTGACTGTCTAGGAGAGCATTTGTCAGGGTTCTGACGGAAGGCAAAGGTGAGGGGCTTGTGATCGGTAAATATAATGAAGTCACGGGCTTCGAGAAAATGGCGGAAATGCTTAATTGTGCGATAAATCGCGAGAAGTTCTCTGTCGAAAGCGCTGTATTTGACTTCAGCGTTCGATAGTTTGGAGGAGAAAAATGCAAGGGGTTCCCAGGTTCCATTGTGGAATTGTTGTAACGCAGCGCCCAAGTGATGGTCGGATGCGTCACAGAAAATTGCTAAGGTAGCATCTGGTTGCGGATGGTGCAGGAGAGTAGTCTGCGCCAGTTGCTCCTTACTTGAATTGAATGCCTCGTTGGCTGTGGGATTCCATTGAAGTGGTGCATTTCCTTTGATTTTCCCCAGTAAAAGTTCATTCAGAGCAGAATGAGTGCGGGCAGCGTTAGGCAGGAACTTTCTGTAAAAGTTGAGCATACCCAGGAAACGTCGCAATTGTTTTGCGGTAGTAGGCTTGGGGAAATTGGAGATTGCTGTTACTCTGTCGGGTAAAGGACGTATTCCATTTGCCGAGACAGAATAACCTAGAAAAGAAACTTCTTGTTTACCAAAGTTGCATTTTGCTTGGTTAAGCAGTATTCCGTATGAATGTAGACGAGTAAACAACGTGCGTAAATGCTGTTTGTGCTGCTCAGCATTTTCTGATGCGACAAGTATGTCGTCGATGTAAGCAAAACAGAAGTCAAGGCCGTGTAACACTTCGTCAATAAAACGTTGAAATGTTTGGCTGGCGTTACGTAAACCAAAATTCATATGAGGAAACTCGAACAATCCAAAAGGTGTTGTAATTGCTGTCTTTGGGATGTCTTCCTCTGCGACTGGAATTTGGTTATACGCTCTAACCAAGTCGATTGTGGAGAAAATCTTCTTATTTGCTAGTGCATGCGTGAAATCGTCGATGTTGCGTACTGGATATCTGTCCGGGATTGTTCTCGCGTTGAGAGCACGGTAGTCTCCGCATGGGCGCCATTCATCGTCTTTCTTTGGGACCATGTGCAGTGGCGATGCCCAGGGGCTGGAGGAGGGACGTGCGATACCCAGTTGTACCAACGTTTCAAATTCTCTCTTTGCTGCAGAGAAACGGTCCGGGGCTAAACGTCGTGGTTTGCATGCTACTGGTGGACCGGGGGTAGTGTTTATATAGTGCCTTGTTGCATGTTTCGAGAAGGTGATTTGGCCGTTGGGTCGAGTTAATGACGGAAAATCACGAAGTATCTCGTGGTATGGCGAAGTGGTCGGTTTCGTTCCTGGAAGAGTGTTCCCACACCTACATGTCTACCATCCTTCACAATACAATCCAAATTGACCTTCTTCGCTCATGTTCCATACTTTAGAAATCATCCTATTTAAAATCGCTTATATGTCCAAAATTATGCATTAATAATACTTATTAGGCGGAATTGAGATATCCAGATCTCTTTTATATAACAAACAATCCTCACTATCGGGAAAAAAAGCCAGAAACCGAGAACACCGTAAATGTTAAACATCAAAAACAACCAAAATAAAACTAAGCGTTGTTATGGTTTCAATCATGTGTAAATACATTCGTTAACTAGATTTTAATCTTAAACGGTTGATATAACTTTTATTATTGATAACACTAAGTAGATATTTCAAAAGAACGAAGTAATTACATTCCTATTCGCCACCGAATTGGAGTTAAAATATAAGTACAATAGGCGACTTTATCAAAAACGACTAAATTGACCCCAGTCTACTCTAAATAAAAGTTAGACGATTTATTATAGAAGTGGTGATAGTATGATAAGCAATATAATTATATTCATACATATGAATATCAAATTTTCTAGTAAGTAGATACGCTTTCTGGTATTTATTGTCAACAACAGTAATCTAATTTAGGTCTAACCATGCCCTTCCTAACTCCAGTTTCTACCTCTGTTATGTCCCTGACTAGATCTTCATGCCTGAGAAGGTGTCCTACTAATCTATCTCGCCTATTTCTTATTGACTCCCATAAAGTTCCCTGTTCTCTTACTCTTTCTAATACCTTTTCATTTCTAACCTTCTCTATCCACAGTATCCTCATCATTCGCCTGTAACACCACATTTCGAACGCTTCTAACCTTTTCTTTTCCGCAGTGCCCACCGTCCTTATTTCGCTCCCATACAGCGACGCGCTCCAAACATACACCTTTAACATTCATTTTCGATTTTCTAAACTAATCATTCGCGAGAATAAAAGTGACTTCTTTTTACTGAAGGGGACTCGACCCTGCGCTATATTCTGCTTTATATCCCTACTACTCCTTCAATTTCCAGCCCATACATACAATATATACTAGTCCTAATATGTAAATGTAAAAGAAGTATTAGATATTAATAACAATTACTGTTTCTAGTACCTCTCGTATTGGATGCAGCACGGGTAACTGAAAATAGAATCGTAGGAGGCTTTCCAACTCTCATCCACGCTCATCCGTACCAACTTACGTTCCTCTTTCAAAAAAACTTTATTTGTGGAGCAGTACTAATAACAAAGGACGCCGCTCTGACCGCAGCCCATTGCGTGAGGCTTACTAGTCCTGACCCAGCAGATTTTTCTGTAAGGGCAGGAAGTTCTTTTTCTTGGTTTGGAGGCATCGAGATGGGTTTGTTTATTTACTTAATATTTTTATATTAATGTGAAATACCAATTTCAATTTTTTATAAACTTCCACATGGAAAATTTGTTGTTGTTGTAACTCACCCCTCGCCGGGAATCGAACCCGGGACCTTTGGCTTTACTCGTCAATGTTCTAACTCTAAGCTACGAGAGATGACAACAGCAACAACAACAATAAACCATACATATTAAGTCACAGATCTGTCGAACTAATGTAACTATATTATCGGGTTGTTTGGAAAGTCATTTCGTTTTTTCCCGACAGAGGATTTAATTGTATTCTTTTTCGCCCAACTTCACATTTAAGCCGTATAATTTTTATATGCTTTGAGAGCTCATATAGCAAGGCTTGTGTGTGAAAAATTCCAATTAATTCTACGCAGTAGTTTTTGGTTGGTGCCCTTTTAAATATGGAGAGCGATAAGCAGCATTTTCGACATATGTTACTGTTTTACTACAGAAAGGGTAAAAATGCTGTTCAAGCCAGAAAGAAATTGACTGATGTGTATGGAGAAGGTGTGTTGACAGTACGCCAGTGCCAGAACTGGTTCGCTAAATTTCGATCCGGCAATTTTGATGTCAAACCATTTCCAAAGCCGATATTCACCAAAAAAAGGTGATGCTGTCTGTTTGGTGGGATTTTAAAGGAATCGTTTTTTTTTGAGCTTTTACCAGATAACACAACCATTAATTCGGAAGTCTACTGTCATCAGCTGGACAAACTGAATGATGCACTTCAACAGAAAATGTCAGAACTAATCAGCAGGTAAGGTGTAGTGTTTCACCAAGACAACGCGAGACCTCACGCAAGTTTGGTCACTCGCCAAAAGCTTTTACAGCTTGAATGGGATACAATGCTACACCCACCATATTCTCCAGACCTGGCACCATCGGATTATTATTTGTTCCG